TTCCTCATCACAAGCACTTTTATATTCATATTTCCATACTTTAGTGGACTGCAACATACAGCAGATTGGAAGAGAGCAGGCAGTAGATGTTTCTTGGCTTGTGTATGCACGTATTTGCTTGTTTAGGCATTATTCACAAATACACTCACTTCCAAGTCTAGTGTTTATCTAAAGCTTCTTAGGAACCAGTAGAGAACTCAGCCACCACTTTTCCTTCCTCAAATATTCTGTGTCTATTCAAAAGTATACTTGAAGCCTTCCATTTAAAAAAAAGACGAAAAAAAGGGCTCCCAAACTCCTGGCAAACTGAATTGTGTCAGCGTGGCCTTTCTAATATGCTTGTAGTAAATAAACCTCTCCAACACTTGAAGGCATATTTACAATGGATGAGTTATCATGCCGAATTCCAGGTTGCTAAAAAGGAAGCAAAGTACCACTGTTGCTAAAGAACTTCATCTTTGATATCCATGCTGTGGCAGTGGCATTTAAAAAACAAATTACCTCTGGTAAAATCAGATCATCTGAGATAAACTGGAGTTACCAATTTTATTTTGACAAATAAGTGTCAGTTGTGGAAAGGACTTGACATTAAAGATGAACCTAACTCCTGACGAACCATGTATTTCCTATGCACATCTCTGAATCTTCAGAACTGCACCATCACAAGATGTGCTGCAGTAACAAGATTTCTAAAACTGACTGCTCAGGTTTGAAATTCCAAACCAGAAAAAGTCTACAGAAAGATGGCTTGAATCACACACATTTTACCGAATGTACTCCACAATTTCTTAATGGAGGAAAAATACACCAAAACCTGAAAATCTCCAGTTTAACTTCAGGTATTTTGGTTTGTGACTGATGAAGTCCAGCCTCAATAGGCTGAAGATGTAGAGTGTTGGTGACTCTAGATAGTAGTTTTCACTGATCCAGTTTGAAATACCAACCAGTCTATAATGCCTATAGGTCCAACAGATCAGTGGCCATCCAAAGAATTACCAAGGTTGGTAAAGACCTCCAAGGTCATCCAGTCCAACCATCCACCTACCATCAATATTTCCTCGCAAACCATGTCCCTTTGTACCACATCTAAATGCTTCTTGAACACCTCCATGGACAGTGACTCAATCACCTCCCTGGGCAGCCTATTCCAGTGCCTGATAGCTCTTTCAGAGAAGAAAATTTTTTCCAATATCCAACCTGAACCTCCCCTGGCACAACTTGAGGCCATTTCTGCTCATCCTCTCATTAGCTCTGTTAAAGCTACTTTGGCTTTGACTTTCTGGAAGCTGCTGATCTCTGACAGAGAAAGCAGCCTAGCTCCTACCTAGAAAAATGTTTCACATGCTGTAGGCAACATATGGGGAGGAGATGTGGGGGATTTTCTCTGGTGTTGCCCCCACTCTGAACTGTCACTGCCCTTAATGGGCCGTAGGCGCTCTTCCATGTCAAAGCAAGGCACACTTACTGCCAGCTCCCATCTCACTGTCCTGCTGCTCAGCACCATGCATTAGTGCCTGCTTTCCTCTCACTGCCTGTAAGCGAGCCACTGTGCTGGAAAGCAAGTTCCTGCCAGCGCCAAGAGCAGATTCCTTGCTCTTACCTCAGTCATCCCCCTGCTTTTCTTGTCTCTTAACTCATTGCTTCATCCCCCTTTCCCTCCAGTATCCCATAACTGCAAAGCAGGGCTTTAATAATGCATGTGTTCCCTCACTGTACATGCCCAATGCCTGAGAGCGCTGTTTTAATGAGTCAAGTCTGCCTTTTTATCAGTACTGCTGTCTGAGGCCACAGCACACTCAAACCGAACATTTTTTGAAGGCAGTTTCTGGGAAGGCGACAGGTAAACCCTGCAAAGAGTCAGGGAGCCAGGCAGCTGCTTTACCTCAGGCTGGTTTGACCCAGGATTTCTCTTCTTGAGGGCAGAAATCCTATTACTCATTCATGTAGTTAAGCAGTTCTTAGGAAGACTGTGATTTTCTTTCTTTGTGGGTACTCTCACCATGGTATAGTGAGATCCATTTATCCTCCTTATTCAATGCTCTGTTTTCATGCCCCATCTCTGTCTAGATCTCATTCCTTCACTGCTTATCGCTCTTCCCATTTTCTTTCCCCCAAGTCCTGCTCTGATCTACATATATTAGCCAGAAAAATAACCTCTCCGCTCTATCCAAGCACTGCATTTAGTTGTATAAAACCTAGGTTCTATACTGCAACAAGATATTCCTTTAACAAGAATCTGGGCATTTTAGGCAAAATAGAATTTTTTTCCTTCAAATCCCAGCCTTTGCTACCTTACTTTGCTACCAGTGCAGAGGTGTGTATCATTAGCACTGTGCACATGGACAGCAGTGGTGGGCTGTAGAACTGCTCCCTTGGGACATGTCTGCTTAATTTTGGCTCATTAGTTTGGATGATCATAGTACAGCTGAGACACATAGAATAGATGGTCATTGCTATTCTCCTGACCACATACAGCTTACACTTACACCCTAAAGTCACAGGGAAGCCTGCTCAGAAGAGCTTGCTTCAAAACCTGTGGAGAATAGCAGAAGCATTCCTAATCCTTATGCTGCATTTTAGTCAGATAGGAAGCCAACTGTCCCAAAGGCTAGCTGCCCATTTACCTGGTAAATGATAAGTTTTTGCAGCTTCAGGAGTGCCAGATGTTTCTGATTGTTTCTGGAAGGAAACCCACTTAAGACATAGTAACATGCACAGCTTTCACAAGCATGCAGTTGTTACCCTTCACGTTTGGCAACAAGCATATCTCTCCCAGGACTATCCTGTTCTGAGCACTGAGTAAGGAAAATGAAAATCCTTTTCAGTTCTAAAGTACTACATGGTTTCTCAGGGGGAGCCCAAAGATCACAAGTAACATTCGCTGCCAGCAATGTTCATGTTCCAGGACTTAGAACCTTCCATCATGGGGACAGTTTGGGGAGTCCCAATTGGGGTTCCACTGCTTTCTGTGCTGACAGAACCTAGACTTCCATCTCCAAAGGTTTGCTGCTGTTATGATTAACACAGAATCCAGAAGTGGGTCAGTCACTCATCTTCTCAGGAATCAGAAAACAAAGTGGACTGAACTTATATCAAAGCTACAGATTTGGGCTGTATTATAGCTTAAATGAAACATTCAAGACCAAGACACCACGGGTGTCTAAGTATAACGAAGTTGAAGATCTAGCAATATCATGTGGTGCCACAGCTTTACAAGGGCTATTAAGGACATAATAGAAGCCACAGGCACCAACGTGCCAGCAGCTTTGGCAGGCAGACAACAAGCTCTTCCATGACTGCCTGCACATGAATTACCAGGTACACACCAAAACCTATCTTACCAACACCACTGCCCACACTGGCAACGTGCTACTGTTGGAAAGCTCTGGTTGTATGTAGACATGTGGGGAACACCAAGCTTACCTATTGTTTGCCAGGACTGACAAGATAGCTTAGAGATTGTCCAGTTCTTCATGCCAACAAGCCCTCAGTGTTCTGGGGTGAGAGGACATTACCCACCTGATTTTGCAGTGTGCAGCTGTCAGAACTCATTTTCCATCAGTCAGAAAGCCTCCATAGAACTGCTGGCCCTTGTACTACAAGTTGGCCAGCCAGGTCCAGGACATCAGGGCTGCTCAGTTGCACTCAGACTTCCCACATGGCTTCCCCAGTTCTGCACTCATTTCAGGCTCCAGCATACGGAATGGATCCACTACTGGAAATGTGCATTCTTCAGAGTTATTTCCATACTGTTAGCATTTATTTTTTCTGAAACAGCCCTCTGGTGGGATTGACATGTCTGCATTAGAGAGTTGGAAGCATTTTTTTCTTCAAAAGAACAGCAGATATTCATATATTCTGTACTAAAAAATAAGGACATGAGCTAATACCATTTTAGGAAGGACGTGAATCTTGACGTCTTAGATGCGTAGAGGCTGGGCACTAAGTTGTGTATAAGTGGTGTTCTCCTACATGCTTTTCAGAAAGTGGCATTTCTCAGGTAAGAAGCATTCTTTGATTTATTTATTAATTTTATGTCAATGCTGTTATTTTTGAATCAGTTCCCTAATACTAAGTTTCCATTTTCCAAAATTAGGTTGTTAGGTGTTCTCAACCAGCTCCAGTAAGAGCAAATTAAACAGGGCATAAATAACTGCAATATGACCATCATCAGCTTTCACTGCTCACAAGAAGTGTTAGCATGAGAAAGAAAACTGCAAGTGAGCAGTATTTACTTTCCTCAGATGTCAGTAATACAGAGGATGAGTCTAGGCAACAAAAAAAATGCTTAACAAAAGAAGTCCATGAAATACTTGAAATTGGCAGAGCTGGCTTGGAGAAACCTATAGAGAACGTTAAGGGCTGATGTATGACACATCCCCTATTTCCCTTTCATTCACAGTGGGGCTTCTGGATCGTGTGATGAGAGCTAAACTTTTTATAACTGGCTCCTTTTATCCTTTTTCTGTGCCCCAGGAAAAGGCATGACTCTCTAGTAATAGGAGCCAAGCTCTCAAGCAAATGTTAGCATAGATAGACTGAACTGTTTGGCTTTCTGCTTCCTGTTTATAAGTGTCCAGTTCCAGAAAATAGTTATTAATTAATCAGAGGTCATTTACATGGTGAGACCAATTGTTCTTCCCAATATACATTTATATTAACCTAGTTTTTTGGTTAGGCTTTTGCTTAGAGCAACAGTCATCCCTCAGGAACGTTTCTATATTTGGCTTAGTGATGGTGAGAACTGCAGAGATACGCGGACTACTGCTTAATGAGAAGTGCTTGGAGTGAGCAGTGAATTAACTTGCTATAGTTTTAGATACATGAGAGCAGAGAAGACTATCCTGACACTATCTTAGGGCAATAGCTTTAGGGGAAAAGCAGAAAAAATTACAATTTTACCTGCCTGTAATCTTCAATACTACTTTAGCAATAGGTCTTCTTTGCAAAGCAGACAGGGAAAGATCCAGATCATTACTTACATTGGCTGCTGCCTTCCATCTCACTTTGTGTTGGCTGCTGATACAGCCCCTCAAGAAGGATTTTGAAGCCTCGTTATCCCACAGATTTATCAGTTTTGAAATGAAGGATGAGGAGCTGCTACTAGAGAACATACTAAAAGATTTTTTTCTGGCCACATAAGTTTGCTGAAAATAAAATACTGTAGTTGTAGTCATTGCCAAGTACAATTTGACACTCAGCACCTATACTTATTATTTCCAGTGACATGTTTTTAATCTAAAACACTTGATACTTGAAGATGCTAGGGATGCTAAGAGAGCTCTGAGATCTTTCAAGAGGTGTGTCTCCAGTTGCCTATGCAACATCACTTCCTACCCAGAATATAGAAGTGGAGCCTACTGCAACGGCCAAATTGCTCCCACGCTCTGTATGAATGTGTATCTCATACTCCAGTGAGATTATTTCAACAAACAGCTCTCTAAATGTCTACGTATGTGGGAGGAGAAAGGATGGAGGCAGTGGGAGAACAAGAAAAGCCATTTCAGTAAATACTTCTGTAACCAAAGATCCTGTTATCTTTACGGCACAAGGCAGCTTTGGTACTCACAGCAGTACCTGCTCAAACTGCATTTCAGACAGCGAGATGAGTAGCAAGAAAAAAAAGGGTGTAAAAAATGAACTGATGTAAGTATCCTCCCACATATCCATGATGATGGAAGTCAGGATGGACTGCGTGCAGGTTTCTTCCACCTAAGAGGCCCTTGATGACAAACCTTCTCTTCATGTCTCTTGGGAAGCCTGCTGCCGCTTGACTCTTGCCTGAGAGAGATGTGGTCCATCATAAACACTAAATTCCAAATGCAGATCCTTGCATCCTTAATTATAGCCTCTAATAGCCTTCGGTTTATATCCTGGGCACTGTCAAAACAATACAAAATAAAACAATCATATCACTTGCTTAAACCTTTTTCTGCATGAATTTCCTTAAGCAGGCCTGTTGATACTGGAGAAAGCCCAGACTGTAATGATAGATTTAAGTTCTGCTGGTTGAAATGAAGCTTGCTTGGCTTCTTAAGCACAAGTTCTACATGGAGTTTACACAGATGTGATCAACCAGAAAAAGGTTGACTTGAGAAACAACTGCAACTCTGAAGAGTTCAGACTGTGAGAGCATTGGTTTGCTAAAGCAGAATGGAATGGGACATATAAGTCAAAACCTAAGCTAATGCCTCCTTTCTACAAGCTTGTAGTAGAGAATGAGCACAAGATTTCAACCACTACTTATGCATTTAATCATTTGCAGTCAAAAATACTACTAGATCTTTAATTCTTAATGATCATCTCTCTCCAAAGCAGGTAGATCTGACACGCTAAATACTTAATACATCATTTAATGTGGAGAGAAAAAAAAAAAAAAAAGAAAAAAAAGGCATGAAATAGAGGTTGCCTGAAAAATAGGCCAGGCTGGGATGTAAGCCTTTCTCCCTTTCCTCAAGTCCCATAAATCAGAACCTCCAAAAATGTGGTGTTAGAAAATATTTCCTTTTCTGAAAGTGTCTTAGGGTCAAACTCTTGGTGCCATTCAGGTTTGAATTCATGCACTGGACTACAGCACAAGTCTAGAAGATAGATGCCATGCTACACATTCGGGCCTAGGAAAAGCAGCCAAGACAGACTTGCATTGTTCCCAGGCACAGATCTGCCATGATTAAGATCTCGCATCCAATACATTTGATTGCAACAGCATTCCTGGGAAGGGAAAGATACCGAGCCAGGAGCTCCAAGTATTATCAGAAATCTCTCCTGGAGCATGGAAACATTCCATGTAGAAATCCCCATCTGTCTGCAAAGAAACTCAGAACAGTTCCACTGTTTCACCTACCCCAGCATTAAGGTAAGTGCTCTCTCACTTATTAACTCTTTGGTTAGTCCAAATCCTTCATACACCATCAGCTGGTCATGACAATTAGAGAGATTTCTTTCAGTTCATAAGTCCAGGACTTCAACTCAAATAATGGATTTTAATGGGGCTATAACTCTCCAGTGGCAGCTGTTGCAGAAAGCAAAGAACAAAGTCACAATGCTGGCACATTTTACAATTGGCTCTTATTTCCTAGGGATAGCTATCAAAATGTGAGCCAAGGGAAAATGGGATTGTAATGCCCATTAAAAAGAAAAAGTCAAAGACAGGATACTGGTCTGAATCTATTTCAGGCATGTTATTTGTTACTTCTGAAGTTAAGCTATCAAACAGTTCAAAAGTCTGTGCTATTGCCCAGTGAATGGAAAATTATCTCTTATCCTAACTAAGCCTAATAAAGGAGGTAGAAAAGGAAATAGATGAAAGTGCCAAAAGCTTTTTAGTAGCACAGTTAAACACTACCATTTTTAACCCCTCAGTTGTACCACATTCAGGAGTCTGACAAATTTTATGATGATAACTTTGCCCAGAGACATCAGATTTGTCTGATGCTGGAGAGAAGGCATTGGTAACCCCAGTTTTCCTGACAGTTTTTGAGGAACTTGACCGGTTTGTTGTTTTTTCTTTAACATAATCCGTAATACCTACAGATTCATCCAAAGACATCTCAGTATTTGCAGATTTTAATGCTGGAGTTCCAAGAGTCTGAACTTGGGTACTCACCTGGTGGTGTTTCTGCATCTCATCCCGTCACCAGGATATCCCATCTTTCCTTCCCAGTCTGTAAGGGTGGCATCCTTATATTGCGACAGCTCTGAACTCATCTCCTTGGGATTCTTCTGGATATTGTCAAGTCACAGTGGAATAAGAAAGCGAAGTATGAAATTCATCTTTAATAATAGGCTTTATATGGGCTTTCATAATGGACTAGGACAATTCTCATATGACATGCTGTGTTCAACTAGAGGATGAGCCAATCGTGAAAGTACATTCCTATTCCACTAGGCCAGATCTTGTTCATCATAATCTCATAAAACTCAGTTTCATTTCAGCCTCATTTAAAGCTTTAGCATTTTGCATATCAGTCAGTTTTACCAAGCTGAAGCTTAAGTGAGTTGTGCTTTTACATATGTTTGGAGAACATCTATATGGAAAACCTCCAGAATGCCCATGAAGATATCTTGTAAACGAGGACATTCTTGAAGCTTCAATCAAAATCAAACAGCTCAGTTCATCTTCTTTAGAGGGAAGCAGTGTGCAGCTTGACTGTACCTTGGACTTTGGGCATCAAGTTTAGCCTATTGTTTTTTTTTCTGGAGAAGGCTCTGGGGAGACCTTATAGCTCTCTTCAATGACTTGAAAGGAGATTGTGTGAGGTGCGAGTTGGCTTCTTCTCCCAAATATTAGCTATAGTACTAGAGAAAATGGCTTTAAGTTGCACCAGGGGAGATTCAGGTTGGATATGTAGGAAACATTTTTTCTCAGAAAGATTATTAATGCAATGGCTTCCCAGGGAGGTACTGGAGTTACTGCCCATGGAAGAATTGTGTAGATGTGGCACTGAGGGCTTTAGTGATATGATGGTGCTGTGTTGATGGCTGGAATAGACCTTAGTGGAGTTTTTCAACCTTAGATACTCTATCATTTAAGAAGTATTTAATTCTATCATTTAAGAAATACCATGGCTGATGGAACAAAGCAACACTTTCACCACAGGCCCAAAGCTCTGGAGAAACCACAGGAGACCTCAGGGTACTTCACAGCACAGCTAGAAGCAAATCCAAGCACAACACTGTAAAAACACATTTGAGAAACATCTCATATGTAGGCAAATCTCATACAAGTTACTCTATGGAAAGGCAGAAAAGAGGGCAACTGCTCACAGTTTAGAGACACTCGATGCCAGTAATGCAGCTGCAATGGGATCAAGTCCTGAATAAGGCAGCAAGCAAAGCGTCCATCTCTTGTCCTGCAAGAACTGTCCTACTTCTGGCCAGCAGGAATTTGTGCAGTTCATTGCTTACCATCAACTGCCTGAAGTCTGCCTAGAAGTGTAGACATTTTGTTTTCTTTGTCTATTCTGAAAAGTTGCTGAAGTACTTAAAAATTAATAAATTGAAAGTGAAATGGGATAGAAAATTGTCATTATTCCACCTCCGCTGTTAAGTATTTCCAGTTGTAAAGGAGACTAAAATATTTTGGGATTTTCTTTTTTGGCTCTCTGAATTTTCCAACCTCTTTCTCCCCCATCATACCGTCATCCTAAAATTTGGCATGTCAACATGAAAGACGAAATCTATGTTTTAGATTTCTCAATAGAAGCTATTTTGTTTAGAGACAGGCACGCGCTGACTTCTGTTGCTCATTGGTTCTGGAGGAGTGGAGAAAAAAAATAAGATGCTGTTTCAGTATGTTGGCATATAAATAGACATAGGAATCTAGTTTAATATACCCAGCCTTGAAAAACTGCCAGCCATAACAAATGCTATTACATAGTAGTGAGTCTGTGTGCTGGAGGATGCTCTAGGGAGACATCTATTAGACTCCTGTTAAGGGAAAAGTTTGACTGATGGCCCCATTTCTGATAGTATTTTCCTCTGTCCTGCATATAAATAGCTGTAACAGTTAAACTGCTATTCTCAGCTGTAATAGGCATAATTTTAGAGATTTTCTGTGTGCTTTTATAAATGAGCTCTCAGAGGAAGATAACTGTGGAGTGTACTAAGTACTCCTTAGACATTCCCTCTCTTATCTGTCCTTTCCCTTCCACCTCAGAGTTCCCTGACATGCTACATTGGGAACTTTTTTTCTTATCACTGGTGTGATGTAAGACGACGAGGGTCTATACAGAATATCATCTAAAGACTTTCTCCAGAGGCATTACTTCATTATGAAAATACATGGAGAGTGAAAGCTCCATACATTCGAATTCACCCAAAGAGTTCCTAAAGGCTGATGGTGGATTTCTCCACCACCCTTCATCTAGATGTCAGCGTGGATCCTTCTGTATAATTCATTTCTAACTCCCATAATCACAATAAAAGTTTAACGTATATAAGGCAGAATAAATTAAGGGGAGAGGTTGAGGGGGAGGGAAAGAAAAATTCACTGAAGAGCTAGGAGAAGGAACATCATCTCAAATCAGCACAACTGAAATAACCTCTGCAAGATCTAGCCTTCATAAGTTTCCCCTCTGTTCCTTTCCCCTTACTTTCCCCTCCCCATCTACATTTTGTATCAACGGTTTCCAACTAAATACTTTTACTTTCAAGTTGTTGTGCGATACTTCTTTTTGATATCCCTGTTGCTTATGTTGCAAAAATTAGTTCCTTCTTAACTTTTCTGTGCCCTTTATGGCAGCCCATAAAGCCACTGCCTTTCTCCTCAGTTACCTTTTCCAGCCTGCTGAATCTCTCTCCCTGTAGTCTCTTCCTACAGAGTGCCAGACTTACCCTTAGATACCCGTCACGCTTCCCTGTATTTCTAGATCATTTTGATCCTTCTCCCCAGAACCTAAAGCTTCGGTATCATTCATTGCCTCTCCCTATAATGCATTCTGTCACAGAAGCTGTGGGTGCCCCATCCCCAGAGGGACTCACAGCCAGGTTGGATGAGGCAGCCTGATCTGCTGGGTGGCAGCCCTGCCCACAGCACGGGGTTGGGACTTGATTTCTGAGGTCCCTTCCAACGCAACCCATTCTAGGATTCTATGCTACTGCTGTGACATTTCACTTCATTATCTCACAGATTTTGCAGCGCATGGAGAAAGTGAGATCAACTTTGAATCAGGAGCTGCCACTACCACAACATCACAAGTTTCTTTCATTACAACTTGCCCAAATTCCACAGCTCATTGCTATACAGTTTGTTTTATCACTCCCTAGGGGATTGATAGGCAGCTCTCCTACAGGGTCAGTGCAGCACTCACACATTGTTTAAGGGCTGCAGCCAAGTTTACAGTTCAGGCTTTGGAACTAAAGCCTGTACCACACACCAGAGTCATGCAATCAGAGATGAAAACCCATTCTGAAATTGGCCCAAGTGAAACTGAGAAGTTTCTAGGACTGAGTGCCCTCAGTTGTATCATTTGTTGTTAGCTAGCACTTTTCTTCCTCTTCAACTCTCATCATAAATCCTACAGATGGCTCTTGGAAGTTTGCTGTTGCTATTGACAGATGTTCAACTATAATCTTCACCATATTCTTCAGAGATGTTCTTCCTCTGTGCTTCCCACATACCCCGATGATGAGGAAGGAACAGAGATAACCTCCCGAGGCTCTTCTAGCTTCAATTCTGCCACACATTCTGCGGATGAATGCACACTTCAGCAATAAAAGCATCAAGAAGAAACAGTCAGCTTTATATGAAACCTGCCACTTCTACCTGTGATTGAAAATAGTCTAGCAGGTCAATAAATGTAGTAGGAAATGGTTTTCCAATGTGGTAAACATGCACACAGATTGGAAACCAGTTCCTTCCTCTCTACCCCCTCAGGTATCATCACAGAATCACAAAATCATTAAGGTTGAAAAAGACCTCTAAGATCATCTAGTCCAACCATAATATTCATAATTATCATAATATTGAAATTTCCAGTAAGTCCAATATCATGGGCAAAAGCACACTTCCCTACTACATACACAGGAAAGGCACATGCAAATAAAAAGCATAGGATTAAGATGCATTCATTCTGGCCAGTGTATATATAAAAATAACATGCCCGTCTACACAGTTTGATAATTTCTTACTTTTCTGCATGCAGGGTCATGATGTAGTCCTGTTGCCTTAGCCTCAGAGACTCAGGTAGCAGACACAAGGTGGACAACAAAGGGTTGAGACTCCAGGTCACAGAGGAAAGCTGACTTGCTTGCAAATTAGTGTTGAGCTGTGTTATAAATCTGATATCTGTTTATCTGTTTTTCCAGGTACAGGTTGGTCAGGGGCCCACTCTATCCCAACTCAGTGTTCACTCAGTGCTTGGGAAGAAGCATAATTTATTTTTTTCCCTTAACCTTGCTACCAACCTTTGATAAGAGTTATGAAAACTTACATTTTGGTCTGTGCATTCTCCAGTTCTCCAGAAACACAGCAGGAGAGCAGGATTAGCCTGCAGCTACACACACACACAGTGCAGTTAGGCTCAACACTTGTTAAATAAGAGACCAGCTCAACAGGGAAATATTTGGAAGCATCTCAGTAGTTATAATAGAGCAGGATGAGAGAAAACAAGATCACTAATGAGAATGCTATGTCCCTTTAGTGCAAGTAAAATAGGGTTGTTCGCCTCCCAAGGCAGCAATTTTTGAAGTTATGCCCTCTATAGAACAGCTTTAATTCTGTTTAAGCGTGATTTCTTCTACCCCAACATTTACGAGCTTTCTGCTCAGAACAGATACATACAACACACCGTGTCTCTGTGTTCCTGCATGGGATACTAACAGCACCAAGGGGGAGAGGGAAAGCAAAAGACTGAGCACCTCAGGTTGAAAACTGATGAGCTAATCCTACAACTTCGCACAAGAGCAAGACAAGGGCTCCTATCTGCAAGCAGCACTGCTGGAGGACACAGTCCTTGTGATTCCAGCAGGCAATGTCAGCATGAGTGCGCATGCAGCCATCTGGAAGGTAGAGGCTATTGAGGTGAGCCATAGGAACTTGTCTCTAAGTTAGTTTTAAAATTGTTTTGTATTCAGAGTAAGCCCCGCATTCAACTCACGGCAGCACCATGGACCTGCCATGACTTTGAGCTCACCCAGAAACAAGCAGTGCATTTGAGACAAGCTTGCTTCAGGGCAGACAGGAACCTCATATGAATTTCCAGCTAACCAGAACTGGAGCTGCTGGGCTGATGCAAGGAAAGCAATCGCACCTCCTGCTGCTTTTCACTTCAGGGAGCCTATTTTTATCTCAGTAGTGTGATGTTTTGCAGCACCAGCAAGGATGCCAATGAGAAAAGCAAAGCGCACGCTGCATGCCAACACCCTGGCTATAGCACAAGTCCTCAAACAGAGCTGGTAACAACTTCCCTCCAGAACATACCGTTTTTTGAAGCTATGAGCAATAGAACTCTCTGATTTGTTGCCAGAACCACTGGCACCCAGTAACTTGAAGATGCCTCAAGCCTTTCCTCTAGCACTGTTACAGCATCAGATGCAGAGAAAATTAAAGGCATTATTGGTGGTAGGAGGGCATCAGTAGGGCAAGGCTGCTTGTCGTACTTGAAAAGCAACAACAAGGTGATAGAGCTTCTCACACAACATGAGTGCTCTGGTACATGCATATGAGTGTACATAGTCACCTCTACCTGGAGAGACCTCAGTCTGAAACACAGAAGATATGTCTCAGGAGAATCACACAGAGCTGCTCCCCAGATTGAACAGCTCCACCACCTTCTGCAGACAATGTGCTGTGGCCTCTTGCCCTCAGCCACCCCCCAGAGCCACGCAGTTATTTTGTGTGGATGCCTCTTACCATAGGTTTGTGGACAGCTTATCTGGTTGCTCCTTTGCCAAAGTCCCAGGCGCAGTGCTGCTTCCCCATGGCATGCTCTGTGCAGCATCAGAGTATTCAGTTTAACATACAGCTCAGTAACTGTTACCGTGGCCAAGCACTCCTTGCAGTAAGAAGCAAATATGCTTGTACGAGTGTCAGATAAAGGAGTCAGTGGTCA